TTTCAAATATTGTTTTAATAACGTCATTCGAATAATATTTAAACAGATTAAATGAGCATACACATTTAGTTTATACAAGTATTTCGCATTTAGCGTAGTTTCTATATGAAAATAGCCCTTCTGGATGAAAAAAATAATAAAGTAAAAATAAATAAAGATACTTATTTGAAGTATCAAAACATTTAACGACGACTAGTAAAGACAACTACAGGGTTGCCTCATTTTAACTAACTAACTAAATGTCTTCATAAAATAGACAATCTATATGCAATCTATATAGATAATCAATCTAGGTAATTCAAATAAAAAAGTCTTAATTTATAAGAAATATATTTGTAATTTGTAATAAATAGATCTAGGTAATTTATAGAAAAAGTCTTAATTTTTAATAAATATATTTGATAAGCAACTTACCTAAATGCCCACCAAATATCAAAACTCATGATGTTCAACCAGAAGTAGCTCAAAATGAAGGCAACATAGCAGATCATGCCTGAAATAGAATAGATATTGTCAATTAAAATATTTGAAAAATTTTGTTATTTATTATGAAATATTGTTCAAAGTTAATTTATATTGAATTATTACTTTTACCTACCATAAGATATGCATTCTGCATCGCCCATGCTCCTGGTGCTGATCTGAATGACCGCCAGGAAGGAATATGCAGTCGCCAATGCACCGACATAGTGCATCAGAGCTTTTCCATGGATTGTATGCAATTCAGGCAATATCAGATAGACCAAAAATGTCAGGATGAGAAATATTATACTTATAATCAAACCTGAAATAATAAAACATGTAGATAGAGTCATAAATTTTGCTTATTGAAACATTGTCTAAGCAACGATTTTTTCAAAAATTTTACTACTAATTTTCAATTTTGTATTTTTTAACACAGTTTTATGATTTCACTAGGCGATAAGTAAAGCAATAAATACCGATAAACTAATATACATGCAAATGAAAATTATGATTTGAATATGAGCTTGTTTGTACATATGAAGCAAAATTTTGCCTTTCAATGACGTTTCCTCGAAACCGCTGTACCAATTTTAACAGTTTAAATATCATTTCATAAAATATAATAACAACATGTTTGTATTGGATAGGTCCGGACATTTATTTGTAATTAACAATTAAATAAAAAAAATTGATATTTCAAAAAAAATCTGCTATCAATTTTTAAACATTCAGATACCGATTAAAAAGACACTACTCTCATAAAAAAGTAGTTAAAAAGTAGAAATACGCATGTATTAATATTATTGAAGATATGCATTAATTAAAAATCTAAGTAAATTATTGTTTTTATTCCACTTTATTGTTTTTCTAGTATTATTTTATTATTCAGAAATTTAATTTATTTTAATTATTAATTTCATTTTTATTATTATTTGCTTTTATTTTATATTAAATCATCATTCTATGGATATCATTTTAATGTTAATTCTATCCTTTGTACTCTTATTTATTTAAATTCATGTTATTGTTTATTATTATCACTAGATGTTAAATTATTTAACAGTTGTAATAAATATTGTAATTAAAAAAAATAATAAAAAAGTAAATTATACAGAGAATCTAAGTAGATTATATTAAGTGGCAAACTCGTAAATCAATTTAAAAAAAATAATCAGTGCAAACGATATCTTACAAAATTGATTCAGAATTTTTTGCAAAAACTTGGATTTTTTTTTTCATTTTCAGACTTTTGACTCATCATGTTTCTTATGGATTTTTAATCAAATAAACTAAACCACTTGTAGGGGCTAAATATTTTAGTATGTTCCTTAAAACCATGATCTCCACCGTCAAACAATTTGATAAAAATTCTAAAAAAACTTTTCTTAACATTTAATTTAGAACAAATGGCCTGTCAAATCGTTACCAAACTAATCAACGCGATTACCATCTAATCTTTTTCGAAAAGTTTTTGATTTTTTAAAATCAATTAAGAATTGTAAGCTAGAAAACTAGTAAACACTAGTCATCATCGAGTTACATCTAATGGCTTTTAAGATTTTGAAATCGGTGGAGCCGTTTTTAGGAAACAGACGAAATACCCAAAAATTGGCTCACATATACACACACATCCCATAAACTTTTAACAAGTTTGGTTTCCTTCGATTCAGAATGACTTGAAACGTTGAGAAAACAAAATTACCAAATCGGATTTTCTGGCGAAAACATAAACTCCTCCTCCGGGAAGTTAAAAACAATTTAGAAAAAAATTAAATTAATAGTTGTTCCAAATCTGACCATAAGTTCTTCTGACAAAGTTTGCATACATTTCTAATCTTAGTGAAAAATGTGTTCATAACTTTCAACTTTTCTTTATCAAAATAATTACTTATCTTTTGATAATAATATTCCAACTTTTTATATCAATGTTTGTTTGAACGTATTTTCGTTTTATTATATTGCCCATGAAGGTGACAACTTTCAGGGCATTAAACTTTACACGGAATGGTTGCTACCCCTGGTAGAGGAGGCAGCGGAGTGTTTTAATTGAACTAGTTGTTCACTTCTAAATGTAAAGTCCGCACAACAACATGTATAATAACTATATCTTCTTTTATTATAACTTAGTAACAAATCAGTGATTGTAATTAGAACTGCAACAAATACATAATATACAAACAAATCAGTGTTTAATACAGTCCACAGCTACAAGGGTTAAATTATAACCCAACAACCTGAATTATCGAAGGAGAATTTACATACATTTTATACCTACGTAACATAAGTATAATGTTAATTATTTATTTAACTAATAAAATGAGGCAATGCAAAAATCAAATATTGCAAAAAATAATAAAATGATATGGTAAAAAGCAGCCTATTAATGTAAACCTTTTCATCTCACCGACTGGAAATATTTGGAAAATCACATCAGTTTCCAACTGCATATCAATGTTGACGCACATCAATGTTCCCCAAGTCCAACTAGTTTCATTTGAAAACTGCATGTAATCGACACAGTAAGATTTATGGTCGAAAAATTTCAGAGGATCCACGTAATTTGGAACATATAGAGAACCATTCTGTGGAATAAACAAATTGGGATAAGAAATTGAACAAAAAATTTTATTTGATAGTTGTATAATTAGTGATATAAAATATAAACAATCAAATCATATAGAATTTATTTTTCATAGCTATGTATGAAGGAATGCAGAAAATGTGTATTTATTTCTGACAGGAACATTCCAATATTATGAATGGAATGACGTATTACCAACTAGCTCTATAATTAGATTCTTTTCTACGTACTCTAATAAATTAAATATATAATACTTTATCCTCCTCCTTATTTCCGTATATTTAAAGATAAAACTTACAAGGTACAAATAGTTGATGTCACTCATATGTTGATCTGGTTCAAGCATGAATCTCGATCCATTATTGCAAGTATTTCCTGAAACAACAGCAAACCATCTTCTATCCCATTTATGGTGTCTTAGATCAGCATTTCTGTGATAATATATATCGGGCGCAAATTCTGGTAAGTCATTGGCAACCTCACAATTTTTACCAACTAATCCAGTACCAACTGGACAACATTTTCTTAGGCATTTGCGTAACTTGCACGTGCAACCTCGGAGATGAGGATAATCTGGAATCAGCGCCGCCTGGTAAAAAATCATCATCAGTATCAGTTATTCATAAATAGAAAAAAAAGAGTGTGCGTAAGGTTCACACGCGATTGAAGCAAAATTTATTTGCTACTGTACAAGATGGCATTTAAGTAAAAACAAATACATCATATAACAATTTTGAATAATGTTTATTAGTAACATGGTAACACTCGTGATGCACAAATTTATTATGGTAAACCATTATATACATTTATATAATGATAAATTATAAATTATATATTTATAATAGCATTAAAAATATGTATAATATTTAAAAACAATAATGTAATTAAAGTCATACTTCAAATATGACATGATCGGTTTGTCATTGTAATTAGCATTTAGAAATGAACCTTTATTAGAGAAATGAAGTAATTGCTGATTAATAAATTCAATAATATTCGTTGACACAGTGGCCTAAAGAAGTTTTACTTGAAAAATATTACTATTATAAAGATATTTTTTAAATTCGCAAACAAAAACTGGTTTGGCACAGAAGATGATTTGGTTTCAAAGCTTGATTCTACCAGAGGTGCACCATAAAGAAGATATATGTGATGAATGTTTCTTCGTCATTTCAAACAGAAGTTGTATTTTGTTGTTTGTAATAATTATATTTCCGGAAACGATGCGTCTAATTATGATGAAGATAACAAAAAATATACCAAAGCTAGGTTTATTATAGTAGCAAGAGTTGACAAAGATTTTTGTTTTATCTATTTTGTTTTATCGCATTTATTACACATAATGTAGATATTATTTGGTAAAACCTCTTTAAAATTAAAAATAAAATGGTAATTTATTTTGTATCCTGGCAATGTTTTTTTACCTAGCTTATAGAGTACAAAGGACCAGGTAATAAATTTTAGAAATATATCAAGAACAATATTTCTACAATGATGAATTAGTTGGGAATTTTACTAAACATAGTTTGATAGTTTTTACTAATAGTCAAATTGGCCCTTTGTGCCCCGCGCCCTTCCCTGTGGCTAATTATTTGAATGAATGTAGAAAATATTGTAAAATGGTTGTAAGGATGTAAGGTATTAAAAGTCTGAAAAAAAGACGAAAAAGCGAATTTTTTACATAAAATATTAGCAATACAGGCCAATTCATGTTTAGAGCATTTTTCTAAATCCAGCACTTTCATTAAGAAGTAAGCATGGCATAAAAATAAATACTATAATTTTTAAATCAATAAAGAAATTACTAGCAAAATAGAAAGAAAATTATACAATTGGAAAAAAGCACTTGATTGAGGAGAGCAAAAATGAAAACAGTAAATAAAAATTGAAAGTTGTGAAAATAGCATAGATCTTATACTATAGTAGTATAAGGTACTAATCGTAAGTGTTTTATTTTTTAATTTGTGGTCACAGTTTTATGATTCATTTAGGACAGGGATTTATTTTAATAAAAATTGCGTAAAATATTTTAAAATATCAGCTGTATACGTTGTGTAAATCCTCAACCACTGATAACATAAACTTTGCGCACTTAGAGCAATATATATAAAATGAATCCAATTGTATCCATTTATCACAAATGTCAACAACATATTAGTCATATCATTTTTACCATGATTATATATTTCTTTGAAAATATCACGTACGAGTTTAAGTTGCCTTTTTATATAAATCACAACTAATAAGCAAGTAATAATAAAGTAGATAGACAAAAGGGCTCTGTAGAAAATTACTGTAATACCAATGTATGAAAAATTATTATTAAAAGTCATCCCAAAATTGGTATTGGATTAGTAATGAAAGTAATTCTTAAATGGAAATTAAAACTTGATTTTATGTTGGTAAAATGATAATATTTAAAATATTATTTTATATCAAAGAAGCAAGTCAAAATGTTGCCTCATACTGGGTATTTAGCAAAATATTAAGACAGGATTTAGATATAAATGCTAATTAAAACTTTATAAAGACATTTTATTTTTAGAAAAACAATATTTAGAATAAAATTTTATATCAAAAAAATAATCCAAAATTTTGGCTTACCGTTGTATTAAGAAGAAGATCAATGCCTTCAATCATGGGCATAGTCTCGTTGTCAAATCCTTCTGGAAATGGAACCATGGGTGGCCTGAAAACAGAATTGTTGATTATTTATAATACCACTAATTATTTAACTTTTAACTAATTTTTTACACAATTTTACATAAATTATAAAATGTTATTTTAAAAATTAAAGAATGAAATTTCAAATTAAAGTTTAGAAATTAAAAAAAAAAACAATCAGTTTGGAACAAGTATAAAAAGTAACAAAATAAAATTGTTAAAATTGATCGATTTGTTGATAATTTTCAGTTGATTCACAGTGTTATTGCATTTATTGCAACTTCATTTTTTACATTTTACCTATAGGTAAAGAACCATGAATTAGCTTAATGGACCGATTCTGCCGCATAACAAAATGTTATGGCAAGACTATGTTATGAAGAACTTTCCATACTAATTCGTCCTAAATATTACCAAAAGCTTATGCAGTCAAGCGTTTTTCTAAAAAAAAAACGATCTTAGATAACAGGGTCTTTCTGACCCAGCTTCATAACATACGAGTGACGTTGCAGTTTATGTGTAAAACGCCTGAATAAACAGCAAATACATGATATTATGACAGTATTCAGTATGTTTCAGTAGCATAATGGATGGACGTTGGAGCGTAACATGGCCTTGCCATAACATAATCGGCCCATAAATATAACTTAGAAATAAACGAGTAAAGATTTTGTTGACTACAATAGGAATACGTAATTCAACTTGCCAGATTTTCCGGCAGCGTATTTATTCCACAGATGTAGAAATGAAACGATTGTTTGCAGTATTAAATATATTTATAAAGGTAATTCTCATATGATATATACCTAAATAATAGCATAATTAAATAAAAAATTTTATGGAATTTGACTATGCAAAATTAGGTAAAAAGTTAGGATACGTAGGCTATTTCTCTAAAATTTAAATCATTTTTTTAATCATCTAAATAAATAAACCGCTGCTCCTAGACCTATAATATTTTAAGGGTTTGTTTCTACTATCAAATCTACTGCCACACCAAGTTTCATCAAAATCCCAGAAGAGTTAACCTGAAGTTCTCCTTGTTAGTAAATTTGCAAATATTTGAATAAAATTTCGCAATTCGTAATAGAAACATTTAATTCATTTATGAATATACTCTTTACATAAAATACCATATTCTGTGAAATCAATTTAATTTTGGAAACTAGATCGATAGTCCAGCCATTTAAGCAGTAAGAATCTCGGAATTCGAGATACCCTGCTGTATGTCTGTAAATACTGTATATTGACACCGTAAAAGTTATCTCAAAACCTACATATGGTAGAGTGTACATACGTAAAAGTTGTCTCAAAACCTACATATGGTATGGTGTACGTATCATATGTAGGTTTTGAGACAACTTTTAGGGTGACAATATATAGTATTTACAAACTTACAGCTCAAATTCGAAGTGAACTTACTATAATGACTGGACTATGATTCAAGAAAACGTAATAATAATATTGCTAGTAATAGTAAATAGTAACCAGAGATTATCCTTGTTAGTGTAAATAATTTGTGATTCGAGATACATTACCATCTATAGATCAGTAACATAGTTGTACTTTTTGTTAACAAATTTTTGTTAAACTAAAAATACAACGTCTACAATATAAACATGCTGGATTAAAATATATGACTATAACTCCTAAAATCGCATTTAAATTTTTGTCAAAAGGAACTCAAAATGCAAATCTTTCTCTGATGTTATTTCCTGAAGACAAATTACGTCATATAGAAAATAAAAGAGCCACTTTATAGTAAAATAGTGACATTCATCTAAAATTTTAGTGAGTGGGAAAGCTCAAAATGTAATTACCATTCAATGAGGAACACAGTCGTATGTTATGAAGCTGAGTCAAAAAGACCCTGTTAACTAAGAGTGTTTTTTGACATTTGTGCGATTTCTAATTTCAATATTATTTATAATATTATTCTATAATAAAATGTATTTAACCTGAAAAGAGCGCTGTTCTAAAATAAATATATGATTTTGCTGCATATTTTATACTAACGAGGAAAACCTCATTTTTACTCTTCTGTGATTTTGATGAAACTTTGCATGGTGATAGAGTTGATAGTTAAATAAAACTGTTTAAAATTTTATAAGCATATGAGAACTGGTTTAATTATAAAAACTAATTAAAGTTACTCTTCTGGGATTTTGATGAAACTTTGCATGGTGATAGAGTTGATAGTTAAATCAAATGATTCAAAATTTTATAGGCCTATGATTTTGAAAAATGGGCCTATATCGTTTAAACTATTCGGTTTGACTATTAGCTATCGCCATGCAGAGTATTACCCAGAAGAGTAAACCAGAGGTTATCCTGGTCACAATAAAAAATGTAATGAAGCAATTTATTTACACCTTGTGGATAAATTTTTGGCAACGCTTGTATAACTAATATAATAAACTTACATGTACATGAACTGATATTTCTTTGGATAAACAATTCCGTCCAGGATAATGGCACCATCTTTTCCTTTTTGGCCATTTTCAATATTTGAGCTCTCGTACAATTCACAGGGCGCATCGACACCATCTGCCCAATTTGCATTTGTTAACAAGATTGTTAATAAAATAAACAAACACCAAACACTTTTTTCACACATGGTGACTGATTTTTAACAGAATCTTAAATGTTTTAAAAATTAATATTTATTATCACTGGTTTATGTCAACTTGAATTTATTTACATTTTTAGTAAATTATTATATATAAAAAACACTATAGTGGTTAATTATATGGTAACTTTTTTTAAGATATAATCACACCAGACTTTATTATATTCACTGTGCAATTTATATTTATTATTTTATATCTAATTAAATTAACTGCACTTAACTATTTTTTGAATCTTACTCTTTAAGTATTAGCTTGCTAGATTAATATCATATGGCACATTTATTTTAATAATCTTACTTTAGACTTACATGTTCCAAAATAATTTTATTTTAATTTATTATTCAATAACTCACTTTATCATCGTAAGAAAAACTATTAGTTTTTCTTAATTGAAATGTTTTTGTACTTCAATTACACCATTATCTGTTAAGAGTGTTTCTCCTAATCGCAATGATTAATATTTCTTATCAATATAAGATATTTTAAATTTTATCAATATCAATTCGTATTTTGTTTTTCAAGATCACTCATTATTTGATTTTTTGATTATTTGATCACTGTTAAACGTTCTTGACACCAAGTACTGCATCTGTAAAATATAAACAACGTTGTGAATTTTTAATAATAAACATAATTTTTAATAATGATAATAAACATTATATATATATATATATACATTTACTGAAAAATATTTTTTGTTTAATATTTACACAACCTATTTGTAAAATATGAATTTACAAATTTATTTATTTAATTTTTTATTTAACGTTTAAAATTTATTTATTGAATGATTCATAAATAATGTCAAAACCAAATGTGTGAAATAACGTATTAAATTTTCGAATCAATTCGACTTCGAGCAGCAAATTTTCATAGATAAGTAATATTATCAATTATTGCAATTGGCCAACTGCATGGGCGTAACAAATTGATAAATCTATTTGTTGCTTGTGGAATAAAATGACTAATACTAAATATAAAATAACTGTTTATACGACATACTATTTTCGAATAACCAAAACATTTTAAAACTTAAAATGTCAGCAATTCAAGTTTTGATGCGATTTATAATAAAACGGTCATTGACTACATTGAAAATAGATTACTGGTCCCAATTTCGAAAGAAGTTCCTTGTCAACAGTAAAGAATGAAAAAAATACATGAGTTCAGAATTTGGACAAAAAATAAACCAACCATATATAAGAAATAAAATATATCCTAATTTTAAAAAATATAAAAATAAATGAATATGAAGGTTTTGCTATCTAAAATCTAGACATTGCTTTGCTAATCTTACATTTTATTTAAAGTCTGATAATAAAGCTATAATTACTAACAATAATAATGGATTGCATTGCCCTAGGGCAGGTCCGTGAACTGGGCGACAGTTTTACCATTGCCATTTAACATCGCAGTGCCCGAAATGGGGGCTATTTTCAATTGGAAACACATTTTTGATCTTGATTTTTAAGTGAAAATTGATATAACGACTGCATGATATCAGGTTATCCAGAACGACGATTCACACAGCGCACACAAGGAATGCGCTTAACCATTATGCTAACACCCCTGAAAAAACTATATAAAAATATATTAATTTATTGAGTTATATTGGAAAAAAAATGCTTTTACAACAAATATTTCTCTCTGAAATTTTTGCATCAACCAGGCTTGAAATTGGAGGATCTTCGACACCAAAAAATACCAATTAAAACTAGTTTTGATATAAGTGCGCATCTTATTATTTTTTTGTCATGAAAATAATTTTTGTCATAAAATGTAAAAAATGAAAAAAAACTGTAATAATTTAATGCGTATTACTCTCCATATTTAATTTATTTAAGGGTATTGTGCAAAAAAAAAAAATCTTCAAAGAATCAATTTATTCTCTCAAGCTAAGAAATATTAGCTTTCAAAACGTATAAAATTTGATGGCTTGACACGTTTACTACTGCGCACGCATATGTTGCGTGAGACCCTTGTCAATTGCTAGAGTAGTGTTTTTAGTAAAATAAAATGTTTAAATTTAAATATGAACTGTAGTTACTTCAAATAGAAATAGTCCTATTTATCGTAATTTTTTGCATTTTTTTAAATTTACAGCTAACATATGCAGGAATGGTTTTATGTTATATTAAACGAACAAGAAAATTTAGCACAGGGAAAAATATAAGCATGGTTAGCAGTAAATGAGTTAATACGCAAAAAATACAAAGCAATCATTTATCGAAAAAAATCACGTTCCTGAAAGAACTATGTAATAGCATCATATGAAATTATGAGACCGATTCCGCCGCATAACAGAAAAATGTTATGGCAAGGCCATGTTACGCTCCAACTTCCGTACATTATGCTACTTAATCATACTGAATACTGTCAAAATGTCATGTATTTGCTGTGCATTCAGGTGTTTTACACATAAACTGACATAAACATCACTCGTATGTTATAAACCTAAGTCAGAAAAACCCTGTTATCTAACATCGTTTTTTTGACATTTGTTCTGTTTCGGTTATGATTTTTATCTGACAACCTGAGAAAATCGCCTGACTGCACACCAACTTCATGACTTTTGCCAATATTGAGTATGGAAAGTTCCTTATAATATGGCTTTGCTATAACATTTTTCTGTTATGCGGCAGAATCGGTCCCTATATGAGAAACAACCACTAAATTGACAAAAAGAATATATATAATATGTGAATTGGATATACCTTCATATATTTCTCTAAAGATGCAAAATTTCTTTAAACGCCTTTGAAATAGTATTATCGCAGATTTGTCAAAAAATAAATACAATTTCAAGCTGATCAAGTTGTATATAAATGGGGATACACATATTGAAATGGAGTATGTTTATATTTTATTGATAAAACTTTTTTTGAAGATAAGAACGATTTGCTACAAATAAAGTGTTGGTATTGAAAGGTTTCGCACGTACTCACTCACTATCATGAAAAACCAAAAGGTTTCGTATAAAATAGAATTTTATTTACATTTCAAAAAAAACCAACACAAAACATAATAACATGAATAATTAAAAAAGTTGCATATCTTGAATTTCGGCTTATTTAACCAGAACTGTGTGTACGAGTGTCGTCCATAGACGGCATCGGTGCGCCTACTAACTATTGCTTTCAAAACTGAGTTAAATTATAAAGAATTCTAATTTATTTTATTGTACTATTTAGTTTTTTGAAAGTGTAATTTTTAATTTTTGAATTTTCATTAATAATAATTTATTGAACATTGATTATAATCACTGGAAAATATGTCGTGTAACAATTACTTGGGCAGCTTGTTGGCAACAACCTCAATATGTTTTAGCGTCAGTGCAATTTTTTCATCCAAGTTTTCTTATATTCAACATCATATATAGATAATATTTAAATCTTCACGAAAATACACTACCTGAATTTACTTATGCTTGTTCTTGGTATTGAAAATTATGAAAATGTCTATCGATCTGGCGTGCGATCAGGCGTATTTTACATATAAACAAGCAAGGAATAATATTATGAAAATGAATATTGGTCATCTTGTTTGTATATATATATATATATATATATATATGTATATATATAAGTTATACCTAATTTTTTTTTTTTAATTTTCAAAATTTTTCCATGCTATTTCCATACAAAACTTTGATTGAATTGCGCTCTATCTAAAAGTTAATATTGAGAGCCAAAACTTTCAGATAATTGTTTTTTTATCAATTTGAAACCCTTTGAGCCCTTGAGAGCAAAAAAACTTGAAAATGTCCATATTAAGGACCCTAATATATATTTGTATATATAGGCTTGTGCTTTAACGACGTAGGTCTACGCATTTGTAATACAAATCAATTAAATTTGGAACCATCCAAACCAGTTCAGCCGTTCTTCACACACAATTTTTTTTTTCTTGAAGTATTCCAAAATAATCAGAAAACCTTTAAGCGCAAATATATTAAACAATTAATAATTATCGATTTTTTGGCTCTTTCAATAACATGTGCTGAATGAAAGGTTAACGACATATCCAAATGTTTGCTTATAAAATTGGTACCTTAAAGCAATTTATCTAAATGAAATTGCTAAAATTGCTAAATTCCAATCATATTATATATAATTAAAATTCACATAAAACTATAGAATAAATGCATATTAATAATTGATTAATTAGTATCTTGAAAATGCGGCAGTGCATTTTTTATGTAGCAAGAAACAAGTTTACATTCCGGAAATATCTAAATCTGTATTAAATATTCGCCCACATGTAAACATATATATATATATATATATATATATATATATATATATAAGTGTATAAGTTTCTATAATAAAGATATTTTTAAATGTAGCGTTTCCATTACACGATTGGAATTTACGATCTGAATATAAAATGACTTCATAATAAAACATTGTTTTGATTTTCCGCTAGACCACTAGACTTCAAATTCCAGTAAAACTAGGTAATTAAATCTCATGGTTAGTCATGGTACTAACATAAAATTTATATGTTAAAATTTTATGTATCTATAATTTTATAGCAGCAACTACCTCTAAACATTTCGCTATAAATTAGGTTTAATAGAATTTCAAATCATTCATCGTCAGTTAAAAAAATGAAAAAGTATAAAAGAAAGCATTGCGGAAAATATTATAAATGAATACAAAAATTATATTATTATTTTGGCAAACCTAAAACAATTGTTAAAAATTCTTAAAAAAAACTGTTGCAAATAATTAATCAAAATTAGAACAAGTGGAGGATTATTTCAGAAACTAGATTGGACTATGAATTATCATTAGGAGCTTTAGAGAATCAGAAAAAATAGCTGAGCAGTTTCTTTCAAATATATCTAATTCTACAAAATCAAAATCCAGTACAAAAAAAAATAGTAAAACAATTTTGGTGTGCATTGTCTTGTTAGCCAAGTTATAATATACATGTATATATATATATATATTATAATGATATGTGATGCAACAAAGTAAAGCGTTATATTTTTTTCATTTTCATTCTAAATTTCATTGTTTAAAAGCAAAAATGTCGGAAATTATATCACACTTTAGAATCAGTTTATATTTGTTCTAATTGGTCACCTTTGACACGAATTATGGCCTTCAAACGACCGAAAAGCCATAACACGTTGCACGAAAGTGGCTCTGGGGCATTTTGGCCCATTCCCGGCGAGGCGCCTTTTTGAGATGATCGACAACTTGGTAATTTTTAGTGCAAACCTTGCTCTTCAAAATGCCCCAGGCACAAAAGTCCAACGGATTTAGTTCCAGAGATTTTGGTAGCCATTGTGCGATGGACATGAAGCAAGAAACCTCTTTTT